TTGGTGTTCTACAAGCCATAAATCTTTGTTTTCCATGACATGTGTTGGAATCGTTTGGGGACTTACTTGATTTGCACTGGCGAGAAGACCACGTATTTCCATGTGCCTGTGGACTTGGTATATTTCAAGGGATTTGCTGGAAGGATTAACGTCATACCAATCATGGATGAAGGCTAAAGGTGAATGATAAATTATTGATTGTGTTTGTCTCATAATTACCGTAGGAGGTAGGAAAGAACAGGGTCTTCTAAACATGATGACTACAAACGTTTTATAGCACGTAGATAGCTTTTGGAGCCATATATGAGGAATATTGATCCAACTAAAGGGGGCGAAGACATTTTTGGAACCTTTTGCAAGGTGATGGTAAAGAATGTTATGTAGTTAAGACGGGATCTTTCTTTTAGGGTCAAGTCGACGATGGTTTCTGTTATTTCTTCTGAGAGGTTCATGGGGATGGCTTGAGAGATATATTGGTTTGAAGAACTAACTTTAGTTATTTGGAACACCATTGGGAGGATTTTATTCTTGAGGATGGGTTGGACCTCTTTAGGAGTACTGCATTTATAGCCTTTTGGTCGTAACATGAAAACTGCGAGAATATTCTCCGTTCCTTTTATGTGTTTTACCGTGAATTTCAACTAGGAGAACCAATTTGACCACCTCAATAACTGTGTCTCAGGAAGCATTTTTCTTTTGAATTACATCATACGAGGGAAATAAGATATATCCATTTAGATCAGGAATTCATGACCGATAAGATGGAATTGGAATTTTTCTATTCCTCTTTTGACCACAAAAATCTTTTTGAAAGTTGAGTGATAGTGGTTTTCTGAGTCTTTGAACGTGCCACTTTTGTATCCAGACACTGCCTTGACATTATTCTTATCTTGGGCAAGTAGGACTGTTCTCCAGTACTCATCACTTACGTTGGTCTGCAAGATTCTCTTGTCAATGTCAGTGGGAATCTTTAAAGGAGGCATCACATCTGCTAATTGCTTTATTTCCTTTACAACTAGTGTTTGCTTGTTAGTCCATGGTGGGGAATCTTTCTTCAACATGAGGAACAGATGCACTGTACGACTTGAAAACTTTGGTTAGAAATCACTCATATAATTAACAAGACCAAGAAATTGTTGAATTTCCTTTTATGAAGTCAGCTTGCCTGGGAACTTTTGCAAATTCTTGGGCAACATGAGGTTACGGCTGATACGTGTTGTCGAAGATTTTCATTCCAAGGAAATCAATAGAGTTAACACCAATTTCCATTTTCTTTTCAGTGAGCATGATACCATACTCTGTTACTATGGAATGAAACTATGAAAGTAAGTCTATGCACGATTCTCTATCTGGAGAAAATAGGATGACGTCATCAGTGTATACCAGTGTGTTGTAGAGAATGAGTTCAATTTTTTTTAACATAGCCTTTTGGGAAGCTGATGGAGCATTTTTTAACTCGAACTGCATCACCTTCCACTGGTACTGATGATCTGGAATACATAAGGCAATTTTTGCTTTATCTTTAGAAGTTATGTTGAGCTACAAAAATCCAGCTTTAAGATCGAACTTAGATATTATTCTTGCATCTGCTAGGGATTGGAATAACAAATTCTTTTGGGAAAGAGGGAACATATCATCGTCCAAGAAGTGATTGAGAGACTGATAATTTATTACTAATATTAATTTACCACGAACTTGCTCATTTCCTTTGTTCAAATAAAATGCTTCACATACCCATGGCGACGTAGTTGGCTCTATGATTCCTTGGTCAACGAGTTTTGAGTATTCTCAAACTACAAGTAGGTAATGCTTTTGTTAGGTTGATGTCTTCATTCTGCTTGAGTGGGAGGGTAACAAAGAACAAAAGATTTAGCCATAACGAGTTTTTATTTCTTGTGAGGAACTCAGTATGGTTAGAGGCACAAGAAGTCTAGATAATTTGTTGTTTGAGAGTTTCCATGGTGAGAGTAGAGGTCATGTAGAGTCGTTGAATTTGACTCCAAGGATTTAGGGGACTCTTATAACGGAGACCTTGTTCTACATATCTCAGACCTGGTAGTGTATGGAGGATATCGAGCCCAATCAGTAGATTCTTTCCATGTAAACTTGATTCCAACAATCTGTGTTCTATGACGCACTTGGGAAAGAGTTTGATCTATACCAGGAACTTATCTTGTCAATGACAAACATGTCACCACTGGCTGCTAAGAAGTGTTGATGATGTGGTTTCCAGTAATTTCAAGGCAGAATGTCAGGATTCAGTATCAAAACTGAGAATCTTGTATCAAAGAATGCAATAACTAGGATGGGTTTAGCATATGTGGAAGTAAGGAGGTGAACTTTTGCTAGTGGTGTTGGTTGCACTCTTTGTAGGGGTAGTATTTGAGGGGTATTAGCGGTTTGAGTAGGGAGAGAAATGTGAGGAAGTGAAAGAGGGTTCTCCATAATACCTCGATATCAAAATATCCTTTCGAATAGTCTAAATCTGAGTTGCATTCCTCATCTGATGACAAATCGGAATAGACAATTGTGCATATCGTATGATTTGTTGGTTCATTGTCAAGGGAATATAGAGATTCAAGATCAGAAAGATCGATCGGTTCAATCTTACTAAGTGTTTGAATTAAAGCTTGAGACTTCTTCTTGTCTTTACAATCCTTGGCGAAGTGTCCCTTTCTGTGGCATATGTAACATCTGTAAGTGGTTTTTCCTCGTGATTTCTTTCTCAAGAACTTTCACTTCTTTCTTCGAGAAAATGGGTTTCTCCCTTTGAAGGAGTTATGGGTGCTTGATCTTCTGAACTTCTTGAAATGAGACTTCTTCCCTTTGTGTGAACAATCACAATTGGATTTGTCTGCACTTTATTTCGAGGTATCTTTCGTCACATGCTACTCCAAGTTGCTTTCCCGTTGTTTAATTGTCTATCAAAAATCGTTTTTGGCTGTAGAGTTTGGTGAATGTGTTGAGTAACAATTGATAAAGCCTACCAAGTGAGGTTTGTGTGACTGAGATGTTTTTCGATTCTAAGAACCTGCTTACCACATTTGCAAGGGACTCTAGGAAGGAGTTTATAACGATTTGTTTAAGATTCGTATCATCAACACCATTAGGCAATAGAATGATAGAACCCGGATTCGAGATGGGTTAATTCTCCCAAAGAAAGAAGAAGAGAAAGACAATTCGGAGTAATTTTCTGATGTCTCTTCAAACAACTTACAATGCTTTAAATAGTAAAGGAAATAGAAATGGCAGCCTATTCTAATGCAGAACATGGAAATGTGGTTAAACCACTTAATTAATGCTTCCTACTTCTACGTGCATGCATGAGGGAAACCAGGAAAGGTGGGAGAATTTTTCAGCAACCGTTGGTGATATCTTCAGTCACGTAATCTGCTGGGATTCTTGGGAATTCTCTTGGGCCTGGATGGAAGTTGGGCTGGCTGCTGTTGGGCTGCCTGTGACTGGTTCGTATCAATACCCTCCCGTTGGAGAACGGACGTGTCCTCGTGTCCGATAAAGTCTGGAAAACGAGTCGAAATTTTAGTGAGATCTTCCCAGGTGGCTTCTRCGGGTTCGTGGTGCATCCATTTGACGAGTATTTCCTGTTTATCTTTTGATTGACGATGTCGCAAGATGGATTCTGGTTGTGGATCGTACGAAGGTGCATCAGTTAGCCATTCGCTTGGGAATTCGGAGGRAGCGGTGTGCGAGTGGCTTTCTTTAAGGAGTGACACGTGAAATACCGGGTGCACACTGGAGGCTATAGGTAGTTGTAGCSGGTAGGCTACGGGACCTATTTTTTCTAAGACTCGGTAGGGCCCAAACAATCGTTTGGAGAGCTTTTGATTGTCTCTAGCTGCGATTGAATGCTGACGGTAATTGTGAAGGCGTAGGTAGACAAAATCACCCACTTGAAACTGTTTATCAAGTCTTTTTTTGTTGGCCTGTTTAGACATCCGTTGGCGAGTGTGTTCGAGAGCTATCTTCAGAATCGTGTTGAGGTGCTGGTGTTCCATTAATGACTCATCGATTGAGGCCGTGAGGTTTGAACCCGGTGTGTATTCGTGAATTATGGCTGCCTCACGTCCGTACATTGCCCGGAAAGGTGTCATTTGAATAGAGGAGTGGAAGCTTGTGTTATACCAAAACTCGGCCAGATAAAGATAGCGACTCCACAGTCGGGGTTCATCATGAACGAAGGCGTGTATGTAAGACTCTAAACATCGGTTGACCACTTCGGTTTGGCCGTCGGTTTGGGGATGGTACGCACTTGAGTGGCGGAGTTTTGTACCCAATTGCTTGAAAAGTTGTGTCCAGAAGTGACTCAAAAAGAGCGGGTCTCTATCCGAGGTGATCGAGTTGGGTAAGCCATGAAGTCAATAGATAACTTTGAGGAATATAGTGGCAAGAGAGTTGGCTGTGTAGTGAGAGGGTAGAGCTATAAAATGGGCGAACTTAGAGAGACGATCAACGATTACCCAAATAGCAGTTTTGMCATTRGAGGGTRGAAGGTGGGTTATAAAATCCATGGTGATGTCAAACCACGTTTGGGAGGGGGTGGGTAGGGGTTGTAGTAGACCATATGGTTTGTGGGTGGGATATTTTATAGATTGGCAAATTGAGCATTTCTTGATGAAGTCAGTGACATCARGTTTAATCGTGGGCCAATAAAAAGATGGTAGTAGGCGTTGAAGTGTGGCCTTGACACCGGCGTGTCCTSCCAATGTGGAGGTATGGAATTCCTGCAAAATCAGAGAACGAATATTTGATATGTTAGGAATAAAAAGCCGGCCTTGGACATAGACCAAGCCATTGTGATGTGTCTGTTGTGGTATTTGGGGTGAGTTGTGCTCCAATTGCTCAATCATCTTCTGTCCCTCGGGATTATTTTTGTARTACGAACGGATTTCATCCAGCCATGTTGCCGTGGGGTTGAGATTGCCATGATGGTAGCAGTGTCGGGTCGGCTAAGGGCATCCGCGACTTTTTCTTTCCCCGGTTTACAGTGTAACTCGAAGTCGTAACCCAGAAGTTTGGTAAGCCATTTGTGTTGTTCCGGGGTTCGTATCGTTTGGGTGAGAAGGTGCTTTAGGYTGTGATGATCTGTGAAGACTCGAAACTTTTGACCCAGTAAATATTGGCGCCATTTTTTTTATTGCTTCCGTGATCGCATATAATTCGCGGATGTAGGTGGAATTGGCTTGCATCCGATCACATAATTTCTTGCTGAAAAAGGAGATGGGTTTGTCGTTTTGAGAGAGCACGRCTCCAATAGCGACACMTGATGCGTCCGTGRTAAGATCGAAWGGCTCRRAGAAATTRGGTAGCGCTAAGGTGATGAGATGAGTCATGGCTTCTTTGAGTTTGGTGAAGGCAGTGTTGGCGGCGTCGTTCCATGTGAATGAAGGTTTTTTGAGGATGTTTGTTAAGGGTGAGGCAATGTGAGCGTAGGTTGGGACGAATCTGCGATAATATCCAGTGAGGCCCAAAAAAGCACGTAAGGTTGTAAAAGAAGTTGGGCTGGGCCAAGATCTAATAGCCGCAAGTTTATCTGGGTCGGTCTGGACGCCATCAGCTGAAATAATGTGGCCTAGAAACGGTATCGAAGGGGCTGCAAAGAGGCATTTCGATGCCTTGGCGTGGTATTGGTTATCAAGTAGAGTTTGGAAGACAAATCTGAGGTGTTCATAGTGGGTGGAAAGCGAKTCACTGTAAACAAGAATATCATCAAAGAAGACCAAGACRAATTTTCGTAAAWCTGGCCGAAATAAATCATTCATAGCCGCTTGGAATGTGGATGGCGCGTTGGTGAGGCCGAATGGCATTACCCGAAACTCATAATGGCCGTCAATGGTGCGGAATGCAGTTTTGTGAATATCTGCTGGTGCCATTCGGATTTGATGGTACCCGGCTCGGAGATCGATTTTGGAGAAGATCTTGGAGCCGTGTAGTTCGTCGAGTAGCTCATCCACTGTGGGGATGGGAAAGCGGTCGCGAATGGTGGCGGCATTAAGGGCTCGGTAATCGACACAAAATCTCCATGTGCCATCTTTCYTTTRCACTARTAATACCGGCGACGAGTATGGACTTTGGCTGGGTTGTATRACACCATCGGTTAASATGTCTTTGATGAGAGATGTCATWATCTCTTTTTGGTAATGGGGGTAGCGATAGGGTTTGATGTTGATTGGGTTAGTGTTTGGGGCGAGGGGAATACGATGGTCGTGTGGCCGTGGAGGRGGAAGGCTGTGTGGTGGGTCGAAGAGGGTTTGGAATTTGGTGAGCAACGTGTCGATGGTTGGATCCGGGTGTGAGGTGGGTGTAGGTGTTGTGGGTGGGGGTGGGGAGTGGTGGTAGATCATGGTGTGTAGAGAGGCCACAAAGTTCTTTCGGATGAGGGAATGAAGCGTACTTGGGGTAATAGGGGCCCCAAATGGTTGACCTGTGATGACGCATGGTGAACCCTTAACATTAAATGATAATTGTGGGATAGAAAAATCTRCAAGGATGGGGCCTAATGAACTTAACCATGCAAGCCCAAGAATAACATCGGCTCCYTGTACYGGGATGACAAATAAAGGAACATTAAACTGGGTCTTGTTGATTTYCAAGGGGGTGGCTTGAAAAAAYGATTTGCATTCCAAGAAGTGTCCGCTTCCAACCATGACGGGAAATGGCGTTATGGCGGTGGGTTGGATGGGTAGAAGATCGGCAATTCGTGGTTGTATAATGTTATGCGTGCTACCACAATCGATTAGGATTGTAACGGGTTGGTTATGGATGTAGCCGGTGACAYGTACGGCTTTCRGGGATTGAAGCCCGAAGAAAGCGGCGTCCGAAAGGGACAKGAATAGGGGTGGGTTGTTTTGAGCAGGTGGGTTATTGGGGTCGGTTTGGTGGGAGTCGAGGTAAAAGAAGCCGGAATCTGGGAATGTATCGCTATCAACAGTGGGTTCGTTATTGGCTATCAAGAGGAATTGTGGCGGAATGCAAATGTGGCCCGAGTGGAATTTCTCTGGGCAACGGAAACATAAACCTTCCGCGCGGCGTTTTTGAAGAGCTTCCGGTGATAGGCGGGTGGAGGGAAGGGTACTGTGTTGTTTAGGTGGTGGGGGTAGTAATCCAGGAAGTGGGTTTGTGGTTGTAGTTGGTGGTGGTAAAGTAAGAGTGTTGGGTTTTGTTGGTGGAGGATTGACGTGGGTAGTGTATTGGGAAATTGTGCGTGGGTTTGGGTGGTAGCGAGAACAAATGGGGGCMAGTTTGTCTTCAATGAGTTTTGYTAAGCCATAGGTTTGGTGTAGAGTTGTGGGGTTGTGAAGGGTGATCTCGGATTGGATGTCGGAACGCAATCCGGAAATAAAGMAWT